TATTAAATTGCAACATCGAAAATTTTATCAAAACTTCAAATATTGTTTTCTCAAAAACTAAAAGTTATTTTTCAAAACGGGTTGGTTCATTGGAAAGAGGACACTTTTATTGACACTTTGGGCAATTTTCATACTAATATTCCAAGAAATTGATTTTATTCGAATTTTTAAAGCTTAATCGGCGAAAATTGCAAAATTCGAAATATTTCAAAAATTTATTTCTCAAGAACTAAAAGGGATTTTTCAAAACGGGTTGGTTCATTGGAAAGGGGACACTTTTATTAACACTTTGGGAAATTTTCATACTCATATTCCAAGAAGTAGATTTTATAGGAATTTTTAAAACTTAATCGACGAAAATTGCAAAATTCTAAATATTTCAAAAATTTATTTCTCAAGAACTAAAAGTGATTTTTCAAAACGGCTTTTTGAATTAAAAAGAGGATACTTTAATTAATAATTGGTGATATTTCCACAAAGATCCTTCAAGAAATTAATTTTATAGCGAATTTTGAAAATTATCGATGAAAATTACAATATCGAAAATTTTATCAAAACTTCAAATATTGTTTTCTCAGAAACTAAAGGTAATTTTTCAAAACGGGTTGGTTTATTGGAAAGGGGACACTTTTATTAACACTTTGGGAAATTTTCATACTCATATTCCAAGAAGTGGATTTTATAGGAATTTTTAAAACTTAATCGACGAAAATTGCAAAATTCGAAATATTTCAAAAATTTTTTTCTCAAGAACTAAAAGCGATTTTTCAAAACGGCTTTTTCAATTAAAAAGAGGATACTTTAATTAATAATTGGTGATATTTCCACAATAATACTTCAAGAGATGAATTTTATAGCGAATTTTGAAAATTATCGATGAAAATTGCAACATCAAAAATTTTATCAAAACTTCAAATATTGTTTTCTCAAAAACTAAAAGATATTTTTCAAAATGGGTTAGTTCATTGAAAAGAGGACACTTTTATTAACACTTTGGAAAATTTTCATACTCATATTCCAAGAAGAAGATTTTATACGAATTTTTGAATCTTAATCGGCGAAAATTGCAAAATTCAAATTCAAAAATTTATTTCTCAAAAACTAAAAGCGATTTTTCAAAACGGCTTTTTGCATTAAAAAGAGGATACTTTAATTAATAATTGGTGATATTTCCACAAGGATCCTTCAAGAAATTAATTTTATAGCGAATTTTGAAAATTATCGATGAAAATCGCAACATCGAAAATTCTATCAAAACTTCAAATATTGTTTTCTCAAAAACTAAAAATTATTTTCTAAAACAGGTTGGTTCATTGGAAAGAGGACACTTTTATTGACACTTTGGGCAATTTTCATACTCATATTCCAAGAAGTGGATTTTATATGAATTTTTATATCTTAATCGGCGAAAATTGAAAAATTTATTTCTCAAGAACTGAAAGTGATTTTTCAAAACGGCTTTTTGTATTAAAAAGAGGATACTTTAATTAATAATCGAAAGTGATAACAGCGACAGTTCTGTTAGTAATGAATGTGATGATGAATTACAAGCAAAGACAAGAAAACTAGACGAAACTACAACAAGAGATTTTATACAGCCTGTTTCAGAGTAAGCGCCTTATTTTTTTTAGCCGCACTATGGNATGAAGTTGAGTATGGTCCTGGAATAGTGAAACACCCTGTATAGCTGAAAATAATTTTAATCGATACAGCTTTGATGGTAATATATGATGGCATAAAAACATTTCTTTTATTTTCAATAGTATAGCCACTATCTTCCGTCCCCGCACTATTGACTCACCCTGTATATATGCAATGATCCTTCAAGAAATTAATTTTATATCGATAAAAGTTATTTTTCAAAACGGGTTGGTTCATTTTTATATCATAAATTTTTTAAAATTGCCGAATATCGGTTCCATCACTAATTGTAACTCATTCTCTTCTTGTAAAACTAATATTTTAATTAAGTTAAATAGTTTACCTGAACTGGTTGAGGTCTAGAAATTGGTACAGGAACATCTTCTTCTTCCTCCTCCTCTTCTTCTTCATCTCTAACATAATTATTTTGGAACAAAGTAACGGAAGGTTTTGGAGCAGGGGTTGTCACAACGGGTCTTTGAATCGGTCTTTGGACCGGCCTAATCGGGTAATTGGGATAATTTGGATAATTCGGAACCCCATCATCATCCTTTTCAACTTCCCTACTCCTATCTTGATCCCTTTCCGGTTCTTGTTCTTCTTTCGGCGCGTTAGGATCGCAGGGATTTCCACTAACATAAGTAAACTCCCTTTTATTCCCATCAGGATCAACGTATCCGTATTTCCCCCTCACGACGCAATCAGTTCCCCTAGTTTCTTCCTTAAAACTTCCATCAGCAGCCTCATAGCCAAAAGTAAACGAACCATCATCGTTAACTTTATTATAATTTCGAATCGTTTGAACCGGAGGTGATTTCGAGGGTTCTTTCGTTTTCGTTTTACTTAAACCTCGAACGGGTTGGATGTAATTGTCTTGTTGGGATGATCTCGAAGACGCTGAAGGTTGGCCGTAAAGACCGTTGTATTGATCAGCTGCTGATATATAAACGACTCTTTGATCTTGGGAATCTTGAGGAACTGCTTCGTAATATTCAACGGGTTGTTGTTCATCTTCGTATTGTTCTTCGTCTTCTTGATGAACCGGGCGAACTCGGACTCTTTTCGATTCCGATTCAGATATTAGTAAAGTTACTAATAGAAGTGGAATACACTAAAAATTAAAATAAATTAATGTAGTTTATGCAACCAAATATTCATTTACAAATTAATAATTTTAATTAAATTTAGTCGTAACTTTATTTATAGGTGTTATAACAAGGGAACAAGAATTGGACCGCGTTATACATTACTTGCTATTAGTTTGTATTGAATTTAAGTCTAACTAGTTTCGGCCCTTAGCCATCTTCAGAGACTTTACAAATAGGTTAACATCTCTCATCTTATCGGGTAAACATCTCATTCGGGTTTAGTCGCGAAAAAAACGTTCAGTTATCAATGTCAAGTTTAATTTTATTATTAATTACTAATTATTATTACTAATTATTAATAGGTAAATGGGTTTTCATCCATATTGGTATATTATATGTGTTTTTAAAAATAACCAATGTTTAAATACTCCAATATATTTTATAAATTTCTCGTTTTCTAAGTTTAGGTAATACAATAATTGTTAAAACTTTCGATTTACATCAGTTTCAATACATCATTCTGTTTCATGTTACAGTCCATTAATGATATATCAAAATTTGAATATAATTGAATGTAAATTCGAATGTGTTTCCTAACCTCAACCTTATACAACGAGACTCCTGACAATGGTCTAGGTCGAAACCGGTAGAGTTAATAAATTTATAAAATATATTGGGGTATAAACATTGTTTATTTTTAAAAACACATTTCAACTTTTAATGTTGACATATACGTCAACGTCATAAAAAATCCTTTAAAATGAGTCCAAAC